GTGTTTTAGGGCCGACTAACAAGACTTCAGTTTTGTCTGCATTAAGTTGGTCTGACCAATAGATGAGCTGTATAATATGAAAAGGAAGGGTCCAAGGACAGAGCCTTGGGGCACTCCCTGAGCAACTGGAGCAGTGGATGACTTGTGTGACTATAGAGATAAACTCTTGCCTGTTAATAAGATATGATCAGAAACAAGCAATAGTTAAGCCTGAAAAGCCTATGTTTTAAAGTCTGGAAATAATTATGTCATGATTTACAGTGTCAAAGGCTGCAAAGACATCATGGAGGATGAGGATATTAAGAAAACTAGCATGAGTAGACATTAAAAGATCATCAACCACTCCTAATAGGGCGGTCTCAGTACTCTGCAGGTTGCGAACGCCAGATTGGAAAGGCTCATATAGATTATTTCTGCTGAGAAAATCCTGAGGTTGAGAAGCCACAACTCTATCACTTTAGCTAAAAAAAGAGAGATTGGACTTGGGTTTGTAATTGGAAAGTAATGAAGTATCTAACCCAGGTTTTTCAAGAATGGGAGTTACAGCAGCTGTTGGGGCAGAACATGAGGAGAAACACTGATCAATAAGATGAACTATGGGAGAAGCAATTGCAAAGAGGCAGGATTTAAGAAGAGCAGTAGGGGCAGGGTCAAGTTGACCAGAAGATGAAGAAGACGTATAAATAATCTATGCAACTATAAGCAGTTCACTTAAATCAGACAAATATTGAGATATACATTTGGGAGGATGATAGATTAGCAGCAGAAGCAGTGGAGTAAGGGGGGAAGTCTTCAAAGCCAAGTATTCACAAGAAGTAACATAATGAAAGATCACTTATTTAACCTTCAAACTGCCATTAAAAACTGCAGGTAGACCTCCCCTTTTACTTGTGAGACAAGGCTTAGACATGAAAGTTTGGAGGAGACTGAAGTAATGGTATATGTGTTGTAGAATGTGCAAAGAAGTCCATGTTTAATTCCATTTTATTTGATCTGATCCTAGAAGTTCGCTTGTGTGACCAAATAGCTGGGATACAGCCTTCCAAAGCACAGTAAACTGGGAGAGTGCAGGGCGCGGTAGATGTACCTAGGCTGACAAGCAATGCCGACTGAACGACATAACAGAAGTCGCTCCAGGTGGACATGCGTATTTAAGCTTTTTTAGTCACTTGACGAATATGTGATCTTCATCGAAGTAAGACAACACCACTCAAACCAAAAGCTGGTAGCCCAAATCAGAAAACAGATGAGCAAACATGATACAAAGTTGACCATCGTAACCATTTTATTGAGTCATATCCAGATAGGCGCAAAAGTATCACCACAGTGCAGCCAAACACCAGAAATCACACACCCACAAATTGAGTGCAGGGAAGCGGCTGGACTACCTGGCACCGCAAAATTGCCAACAACTTAGTGAATGGTGGAAATTCACTCATCGCAGCTGAAGTTGGGAGAGGTGCTTGAGAGGGCTCGGGGTGGCCGGCTACCAGTGCTGCAGTCAAGGTGTCCAATCAGTAATAGAAAGGTTTAACGAAGTCCACAAGCCAAAGTTCAGAGATCCAGAGTTCAACAAAATCATAAGCCAGAGAGCCAAAAAAGAAGAAAGTCAGAGTCCAGAGAGAGACAGTAAAACAGAAACAGAGAAGCGGCAGCCACAACACGATCAGCGTATCAACCGGAAATGAATTTAGGATGATATTAACACAATTAATGCACACACATGGAAACACACAAAGAGAAAGAGAATTTTTCAGAATTTTAAATGTACCAATATATGTGGGAGTAAGCTTCCTGCATCCCTCCTGAACCTGGTTGATAGCCATACTTGGTTCCCAGGTTGGTATGAGGGTATAGCTCCCTGGCAAGGATCTGCCAAATCCTTGAGGCTACTGGTGGCTCATTACCTAAAATAAACTGGAAAGGGTTTAATCCAGTAGCAGAACTTGCAAGGGAATTCTGGGTCATGTCAGCCTATACTAGAAATGGCAATCTCAAGGTTAACATCATACTGTCCATTTGCTTGTGAATGATAACTAGATGTAAGACTGAAAGCAATTCCTATCTGTTTAAAGCCCAGGTGATTTAACGGTCATGAAACTGTTCTGGTACATACTTCTTGTTAGGAGGACACCGACTGGGTCCTTCTTAATTCTCCAAGAATTTAATTAATTCCTCATCTATTTTACGATGGATGGAGGTGATATGTATGTTAGGTGTGTGCATGAGAATGCGCAATATGGCTGCCGCTCTACATCAGTTTTTCGTTTGTTTTGTTTTGTATCGTTTGTGTGAATGGTTTGATGTTTCCCTGCTGGCTGAGGAGTTTGCCATCATTCCATTGAGATAGCAGCCGAGAGTGTTTTTCCAGCCGTGGCTCAGAGACTTCTTGGACTGGCTGTTTGGGTGATGCTACATCACAGCCATAATGTGGCCTGGACTGGCCACTTGAGTGATGCTGTGTTGTGGCTACGAGGCTGCCTGAACCGGAGACCTGATCGATGTGACACTGCAGATACGTGGCTGCTGGGCAGGCTGTTTGGATGACACTGAACTGCAGCTGTGAGGCTGCCTGGACCAGCAGTGCTCAGCTGCATGAGCAGCGCTATGCCGCGGCTACAAGGCCTCTCAGGCCGGCTGCCTAAGCGACGTTACATCGCAGCTACGTGGCTGTCTGGGCCGGCCACTCGGGCGAAGCTGCACTGCAGCTATAAGGCTGCCTGGACTGGTGGTGTTCGGCTGCAGGTAAATGCGACCCTTTCATGGCTAAGGACATTTTCGGCATTCGAGGTTTCCTAGGCTGGCTGCCTGTGACGCACCATAGTCTTAAAGTGACTTTGGTCATGGCTAAAGACTCTTTTTGGGGTGGCAATGTGACTCTATACAGTGATCATTGTAATCCCCCCTCGCTAGCTGTTGGAAATGTAGAGGTGTGTGTGTGTGTACTGTGTTGTTTTATTTACTGTTGATTATGTATTTTGTTATATTCTGATCTTTTGTAAAGCATCCTTGGGTATGAGAAAGGTGCTATATAAATTCAAATTATTATTATTATTATTATTTAGTATGTTCAGGAGTATATTCTTATCATATTCTCGGGTTCAGAGCAGAATTCATTTTGACCTTTTTTGAAAAACCCAGGACAGGACATCAGCCTTAGTGTTACATGAGCCAGGAAGAAATGTTGAACTGAAATCTTGAAAAGATTTGAAGAAGAACAAGGATCAGCAAGCCTAATGGAAATTCAAACATTTGATACTTAAGATTTAATGATCTGTAAAAACTAAGAAAGGGTAACTCTTGGTCCCCTATACCATAATTTTTCTCTACTGAGGTGGTTTTATGATAATACACCACGCCAGTTTGCGAGGACTCATTGTGTTGTGACAAAACAGAACCAATACCAGTCTCTGAGGCATCTACCTCAACCACGAAAGGCTTGGAAGGGTCAGGGTGCTTTAGTAGAGAAGCAGAAGTAAACGCTTCTTCAAGCACACGGAAGGCGCTATCTGCGTGGAAGGACCAAAAGAACTTCTTGGTGGCTCCCTTCAGGAGGACTGTAAGGCGATCAGTGACACTAGAAATTTGCAAAATTTAGAAATCCCTGTAATTTTTTGATGGAAGTGGAAACGGTCCAGTCAATCACAACTTCGACCTTCCATCTTGAGACAGCTGCAGAGTCTGATGTTCCAGGTGTACACAACGATCATTGAGTCCATCCTCACATCATCCATAACCATCTTGTTTAGTTCTTCCACCTCACAAGAATGAGCCAAACACAGGTGCATAATCAGGACAGTGAAGAGATCATCAGATGTAGTCTGCAAACTCTTCAGGACATCTACAACAGCAGGGTGATGAAGCGTGCCATCAAAACAACAACTGACCCCTCTTCACCCGGTCATCAGCTCTTCCAGTCACTTCCCTCTGGAGTGGCTGAAACATCTAAACTCAGTAATTAGGGGTGTCTATATACCTTTGGCCATATTTTAGATGACATAAATCTGTTTCATGTTTAATATTTATACACTGACAAAAGGTCATGTGTGATAGAAATATTTGGACAGTTTTATTGTATGAAGTTTATTTTTTTGTCATATGAAGAGAGAAAAATTGGACAGACTTGCTTAAGGATTTTAACTAATTATCCCCACATTTCTAATATTTATGCCTAATCACTGTCAGATATTTCCCAAGTGTAGTGCACAAACCAGCCAAACACAAAACGCTAGTGTGAAGTGTATCAAGCTAAAGGCCCAAACTCTTATGTAAGAATGCAGATTAAATATTTATGGAAGTATACAAACCTCAAATGTCTGTGTGTGAGCTGAGGCTGTGTAGCGTTAAATACAGTGTGGGAAAGTGAATGTACACCATCGTTAACAGCAGGTTGCAGTAATTATTTGTATCAAACTCTACTTATTGTAACATTAAAGACCTGTGTATAATGATATGTTTAAAATTATTCAATTAAAAAATGTAAAAGTTCATGAAGTGACTTGTATATCTTGTATAATTTATGATGGTACAGTACAGGTGCAGGTGTGTTCCATGCTCTATTGTAAACTGGAGCATCTTCACAGCTCTGGGTACAGGTCACCGTGCTATACAACTGGGATTATCTTGTCTAATCTTAACTGCAAATTGGCCTGTATGATAATCATATACACAGAGCATCAATGTCTGGACAAATGTTTATTCTTCTATAATAATTAGTTGTTTGTCATGTAAATGTCTCCCTCTCATTTTACTGCTATTTTTTTTTCAAAATGACATCCAGAATACACATTTGTTTGTCCATGCAGTGTTTTTATTTAAATTTTTCAATATTGTTATATTATACACTTTGCTGAAATGCTAAGTAATTGAATTTTATGAATATTTATGAATATATATATATATATTTTTATTCATGGGCCAGTAATGGGCCATGTTTTCTGCAATAGTGCTGCAATTAGACATTATATATATATATATATATATATATATATATATATATATATATATATATATATATATATATATATATATATATATATATAATGTCTAATTTCAGCACTATTGCAGAAAACATGGCCCATTACTTTTTTACAGGACCTTATGCAGAGATATGGGTCTTACATATTATTTATACTTCTCTGGCACTACAAAGGCAGTCCCATGTCCTTTATACTGCACAGTGTCCCAGTTAATCACATTCGGTTCTGGTCCCACCCACACCTTATCATTGAAGTGCCTAATCTGATCACCCGTCAGCACATAATCCCACATGTTCACGTCTGTAATCTCACCTACAAAACTCTGGCTTTCATCAAAGTCACCAAGGAGAGAGTCCGGATCCTGACCCAGAAGAACAGTACCATCAGACTGAACCTGGATGTTTTTCCCGTACGCCTGCAGAGTGCTGCGGTGGCCATCCACCCAGAGCGCGGTCAGACCCGTGCTGGATTCCCAGGTGAGACACAGGTTTGTGCGGAAGATGGAGAGAGGTGGGGTGGGATACGTAACGCCCACTAAGCTATTGGTGAGGTATAAGGAGATGTTCTTGCTCTCCAGCCAGACATTAAGCTCATCCTGGTCTTGGGTGCGATAAGCAAAAAGGATGGTGTCACGGGTTTCATCGTTTACTATAGTCGGATCCACATACAGACGCATACACAGAGTAAAGGCCTCTAAATTCAGGGGCTTCAAGGGGAAGAGCCTTACATAGGAATCCACTGATGGAGTTGGGAAAAACAGCCCCTTGCCAGTCAAACCACCTGAAAAGCAAATAATATTCTTCTCAATATCACTCAACACACTTCAAGTGGAGTTAAAGTGCAGTTCCAGTTCAGTTTATTCATAGCTATTGTTGCTAGGTTGGACAAGCTGTACAAAACAATAGTAATAATCTCATTTGACCTAATGTGAAACTTTATAACTATAATCAAAATTCTTTATAACAGGCTGATGATTTCAATACACAACATTAAGTTTCAAGTGCGAAATGCTACAGACCTTCACTCTGTTGTTGCAGTTAATTAAGACTTGGCTGGTTGGTCCCGCCAATGACATGATTTGCCGCAACGCTAATGTTGGTTAGACGACAAAACATACATGAAACCTATAAATTGGAACCTTTCGGAAAACTCTTTAAATATCTTATTGATATTCATTTAAATACTGAAATACGGAAACAGTCTGGCATTTCCAACATAACTTCTTCCATGTGAAAGGTAACAAAGAACATGTTGAAGTTACATCAGTCAAGTATAACCGATGGAATAGTGTGGTACAAAAGTCACAGCTTGAACACTGCGAATTGAACATTATCCGTTTGAAATATTAGGTATTTTGTAATATTCTGTTGCTCTACAGTTTGTTGTTTAATGCTTTGTCTGACATTTTGGGAAGCATTTTTAAGAGAATTATCTCAGGAATGATTCCTGGGCAATACATATTTATTGAGGCCTTTGCCCATTCCCTTAAGATAATACACTTTCCAATACAGTTCAAATGAGGCCCAGAACAGGATTTTCCCTCCTCACTCAAAATGTTATATAAGCAGGAAGTATGTGATTATTGTCAGAATTCTGCTTCAGTCAACTTTTATTGGGCACTACAGCGTGCATAAAATGACCTCTACATTTTAAATTTCTACTGCCCTCTAACCATTACTTAGTAATTACACTTTATTTGATGTGAACTGAGATGTCACAAATTACACAAATCAACTACAGCGGATCATAAGCTACTATATATTGCTTATTCATGAACTATGAAACCAACTGACCCCTTACAAACTTCACACGCTGCATCGCTCTACTTGAGTAATATTCTAGCTGTTAGGAGATGGAACTCATTTACAAATGCTTTTGGGTGCAAGAGGAGAATGGTCACTCTCTGCGTTCTATTCCAACTAACAAGACCAGTGACACCCACTACATGCATTTGTAGTGAGCATTTTATTGCTGAATCATTTGGGCTCAGTACAGCTCATGATTTGTCAGACTTGAACTGAAAGGAGCAGCTTTCCTGACACGTACTAGAGGCAGTGTGGTTGATAACACAGTAAATATTTATTTTTTAAAACAGTAATCATTTTCATTTGACAGTTTATTAAATAATGTTGCTACCAATGAGAATGTAGCAAAATGTGCAGGCCAACGTTAGCTAACATAGGTTGCTAATGTCACAATAACTTTAACCTGCATTCAGATATTTTGCGAGACACCTACAAATTCATTTTATAATGTTATTTGATACACTGACATATTTGAATTGGCAATTGCCATTGACTTCCCTGTTAACTAGACCTGGTTATCCAGCCGGATGTCAAAGTCAAAGGCTGAACCCACAGTGTGATTAAAAAGTGGTTAATCTAATTCTGTGGGTAAATGAATGTAAAACCATCAATATATAAGAAATTCACGTTCTTGAGTTCTTTAAAATGTGAACTGTGGGGTCCTCAGTTCATATTTAACCAGAGAATTTGATTAGGCTCTATTTGATCACGGACTGAATTCCGCCATTGAACGAGACCCCTAAAAGCCTTTCTCCCGTTGTCTGTAGGGCAGCTCCAACCCCGAGAAAACCAAGATAGCATGCCAGTAAAATGTTCTTCCAGCTTGTATTTAGATCATTTTGGAGTTTCAGTGAACTACAGTGAATTTACAGTGAACATGAGGCTGACGTGACAGCTGGGATAGGCTCCAGCACCCTACCGCGACCCAGAAGGATAAGCGGTTTAGATGATGGATGGATGGATGAGGCTGACGTTTGCTTCCTATTTACCACCTTCTTGTTTGAATTCTCCTGTTCCACCATAAATGATGCAACAGTTATTATAATGTTTGCTGCCCCATTTAAGGTGGAACAGGAGAATTCGAACAAGAAGCTGGTGAATTAGAAGTTGACTTCAGCTTTGTGTAAACAATTATTTGAAGTGCAAAAATTTCTTAGCTGGCTAAAAACAGAAATCCTCTTTCTACAGCATTATCAGTAATAACAGCAAAATGCTCTTCTCCACGGTTAACAAATTAACAGTCACCTAGAAATATGGCCAGAGAGCCGGTGTTCTGTCCATCACCATGTAAAGATATCATGGTTAAAATGTCTCACTTTAGTGTTATCAATAATTAAATTTTAATTGATACAGTGGGTCATCTCAAATCATCCATGTGCAGTCTTGACATGTTACCAACCAAAGTTTTAAAGAACGTTTCACTCAACAGCAGTGGACGTACTTCACCTCACTTACGTTGGACATTTTTCCTCACGTTAAAAACTGCAGCCTCTCTTTAAAAAGAAAAATCTAGAAGCGATTCTAATTATAGACCAATTTCAAATCTACCTTTCACTCAAACATCATTGAGAAAATCATCTTCAAGCAGCTTACTGGCTTTTTTCAATTTGGATTTCGGCCTAATCATAGTATTGAGACTGAGACTGCTCTAATTAAGGTTATTAATGACATCCCAATTAAAAACACACTCTGGAAAACTCCTACTATAAACCTTGATTACTTGATGAATACTTTTGTATTATTCATACTTTTGTACAGTGCTGGTATTAAATAGTGCACATTATTGCATTAGTGATGGATCAAGAATGTAAGAGATGACTACTTCTTGGGATTTTGTCGTCCTCAATTTCCCTTTAAAATTAGACATTTAATGTAAACATTCTGCAGCCTTCATTCACTGTTAACTGATCGAGCACTGATCTAATCTAACACAATACAGGAAAATGCCAAGATACAGGCGAGCACTCTACGTTCTTAAATTTGTTTTTATAAAACATAGTTATAAGAACGTGGAGAAATTAAACTTACTTTGACCAAAGCAGGTCAGAGGCAGGAGGACACCCAGCAGAACGAGCACAGACTTCATTTTACTGCAAAAATTTTAGCACAACCTGTTAGCCACCTTCACAAGTTACACACAGCTGATAATCACATTTAACGTCAGTAAAACTAAAGTGGCTGTAAGTGATGAATAAGAAGTGTGGATGCTCACCTGGTAGTGAAGCTCTACAGTCACTCAGACTCTGTAGATGTTTACAGAATCTTTCTTGGCTCCTGTGACCAGTTAGATCTATTTTCCAGCTGTTCTCACAGGAGAAGGTCTAAAGCTGGTGCTGCAGCTTCTGCATTTATAACATGCCATATTTACATGCCCTGCATTTCAACTCTTGCATAACTGACGGTAAATGTTTATCTGATCCTGCAAGGGAAGGTTTTTTTTTTTTTTTTCAGAGAAACAGTTCTTCAATTTCAGTGACATTGTTTAGTACCATCTCTTTTAAAAAGATAAGGACACAGGCATGAGACCCAGGTAGAAAAAAAAAGATTATGAAACTTGCATGACTGATGAGGCTCAGTACACAAAAACAGGCTCGCTATGAAGGAAAAATGGGGTGTCAATTATTTAGAATTTGGCTTCCAACAAGTGCTTTCTTGTTCTTCAGGTGTTACATTCAGCTTAGTTTTTGCAAAAGATCCACACATGCACATATAAATGCACCCCCACACACATTTCTTTCAAATTCATAAAGATGTGACACTAGTTCTTTAGATTTATATAATTTGATGTTTCCATGTTTACTAATGCATTGTCTCATTAGACATATCAACAGTGTTCAATGAGTTTAATGGATTTAATGTTTCACAAAGCTATTTGCTGGTTATTTGAATTAATATAATTTAATTGTGTGCAGCGTACTTTATTAGTGGAACAATCCAGGTGGTTCGCCCCGTGCGAACATCAAACTCGCAACCTTCATGATGGTAAACTGGAGTGCAAAGGGACCGAACACCCAGGAGACGCTAGACGGTGGCCTGAAAGAGAGCAACAGGGACTTTAAGGGAAAGTTAAACTCAAGAAAAGAATGGGCAAAGTACTCAGGGAAAAAAATAACAAACAGTCTCGAGAGAAATGAAAACTCAAAAGGAAACAAAATAAACAAAGTTAGTGGTTTCAGGGGAAGATCGAATCCTTGACTTCTACATTGCACTGACCAACATGCTACACTGCACGCTACTTGAGAAAGCAATGGCAATGCCAACTAAAGGGTTTACAAAGAATACTCTCGAACCTCTGAAAGCTCCTTGGGTTATAGCACAACATTAATTAAAAATGAAATAAAAACATCCCAAATGCTGGGTAGTTTTTGGTACATCAGGTGTTAGATTATTACCTGGATCACAGCCAAAGAGTAATTTTTCTCGTTCACAGTACATAAGGATGGTTAAATGGCAAGACAAGAGTCAGGAATAAAAGTCTGTTTGGAAAGTTTCCTAAAAATGTATGTGTAAAAACAGCACATATTTCATTACATGCTCCTTAGTGCACAAGATATATATATTTTTAGTCAAATATATAATATTAATCACATTTTTTAGTTGTCGTATGGTTAATCAGACTGATGTCTCACAATGTAGTTAATATTTTATCACTCCTTTCAATTTTTAGCACTCCTTTTAATCAAACACCATTGGGCGGGATGTTGAGAGGGGCTTTTTATAGATTAGATTAAGATTAAGTGACCCTTATTAGTCCCACAATGGGGAAATTTCACCTCCGCATTTAACCCATCCCTGAAGTGAAACACCACATACACAATAGTGAGCAGTGAGCACACTTGCCCAGAGAGGTGGGCAGCCCTATCCACAGCGCCCGGGGAGCAGTTGGGGGTTAGGTGCCTTGCTCAAGGGCACTTCAGTCCTGTCAGCTCTGGGGAACGAACCGGCAACCTTCTGGTCACAGGTTAGATCCCCAGAGCCGACAGGACGTGAAAAAACCATAAAATTGATACAGGTGTGTTTTAAGAGGAAGTGACGAGTCTAAATTTTGGTGGTTATGGAGGAGTGCTAGATGCTTGTTGAATACAATACAAAGCTATCAGTAACAACCACTGAGTGATCACTACCACTACCACTACCACAATCAAGCAATGTTGTGTTACATCACCTTTCCTTTAAACAGCACTTAATCATCATGTGGGGGCTGACGACACAAACTGATCCAGATTTGAAAACAGAATTTTTGTCATTCTTCTGTTATACAAGTCTTCAGCTGAGCAACCATAAAGGGCCTTAATTCTTGTATGTTGAACTTAAGACACGTTTTCAGTGGGAGACAGTTTTGGACTGCAGGCACGTCAGTCTAGCACCCACACTCTCTGATTACGCAGCCAGGGTGCTCTAACACAAACATTCTGTTTCTTGGTGTTGTAAATAATCAGGGATGTCCCTGAAGAAGATGCGGTCTAAAAGGCAGCTTATGTTGCTCCAAAATGTGTTCATTGTTAATGCTGCTTTCACAGATGTGCAGGTTACCCTGTAAAAACTTCTCCCAGACCATAAGAGATGGTGGATTTACAACTTTAGGCTGGTAACAATCTGGATGGTTCTTTTTGTCTTTGGCTCATGACGTGCATTGTTTCCATAAAAAATCTGAAAGGTTGACTTGTCAGACCACAATACACGTTTCCACTGAGAATCTGTCCATTTCAGATTAGTTTAAGCCCAGAGAAGTCGGCAGCGTTTTTGGACGTTGTTAATATGGGACTTACACTGTGCAGAGTACAGCCTTAACTTACATTTATGGATGCATAAACAGCGCTAAACAGTGCTTACTGACAGTGGTCTGTCCAAGTATTTCTGAGCCCATGTGTTGATCACCATCACACAAACAAGCCAGTTTTTAGTTCATTTCTATCTGAGGGGTTAAAGATCACAGTCATTAAGTTGTGGGTTTCGGCCCTTCACACACAGAGATGTTTATCCTTGCAATCCCTGGCCAAGGAATGTTGTTTGTTAACAGCTGGATTTTTTTATTGATGCATTTTTGCCAAAGCGGCGGGCCTTGACCCATCTGTAAAAAGCAATCAAATGAATAAGTTAAAACAATAAATGTCTTGTCTTTGTACTGTGTGTGTTCTAATACAGGTCAAAGTAGATTTATGAATAAATGCTTTCTGTTTTTTAATTTGCATTGCATTTCTCTCAACTTGTTTAGAAATGAGTTTGTACATATTGACAGTCTAAAGGGCTTGATGACAGAGTTGTTTGTTTTTTTCAAAAGGTCGCCAAATACCGTAAAGGGCTGGTCTGGACGACAGCCACTTAGTGTTTTTTTTTAAATACCCATCAACTCAGAAAGCAAAAATGAATAAAAGATTTCCACTAATACATAATGCATCATTTTCAATACACTGTTATGCAACCAGTCAACCTTCTGGAGTAATTTTAGTTGATGTTTTATCCTCTAAGTAAGAATTCCAGATTTCTCACTCTGACACAGAGGGTCTGATGTAAGCTTCCTGTGTCCATTTCAGTGACAAACCGGAGGCATTCTGGCAGCGTCTTATGTCTGAAGTAAGTGCGCAGGCCTAAACCTACAGTTTATATTCGGCAGGAGAAGGTAAAAAGCAAAACTTGCTTCTCTCTTTCATGTAGGTGCACTTCAGGGAGGAGTGCGCTGCTGAGTGCAACTATGTGCAGCCAGCTTTGTGTAGATTTTTGCATCGCTTTTTTCTTATATTACTTGTAAACAACCTGAAAAATATGCAGAACCTGATATGGCATCAAGTACATCAATTATTATCACTGGTAAAGTCATGCTTTGTATGAACCACTTTCATAGAGCTTTATGTTATACGAGTCTACTGCATCAAACTCCAGTCCAGGTAACCAGGTGAGGCTGAAGTTCGCTTCTTATTCAGACTTTCAGTTCCACCTTAAATGCTGCTGTAGAGGCCATGTTTATCTCATTACAGCTCATTACAAAGAACAGCAGCACAGCAAATCACTCCTCACTATTCTTTAGCAGCAAATCAGTATGAATCAAATGTGAAGTGTTTAAAGATGTGAAACTTAACTATGAAGCAGTTCATTTTTAAGGGAGCAACACCAGGTGTGCTAACACAGTCATGCCTTGTGAGCACAGGAGGCACAGCCAGATGCTGCTGCAACAGAGAGAAGTATTAGGAGAGTACTTAGATAGTGTGATATGAAAAGTCTCTCTAAATGAGTGAAATGTAATGCGATGTCACCATAATTTACCAAGGAGAACAAATCAATACTGTAGTATTGCAGTTCTCTCTGGATGCTTATCTTTTACTACCCTGAAATAAATTATCTGATGGCCATGATGTTCGCTTTGATTAACATCTTGTGAAATTGTTTTAGGTATGAAAAGGACTGCACTCAATGTGCTCTATTGAGCTCTAGGCTATATTGAGTATTTTGATCTCTTTTCAAGCAGCATTAGCATAATATCATACATTTGTCATCTATAATTTAATAACAAAGTATGGCAACACCCTAACAAAATAAGGCAACATCACTAGTAAGTGAAGTAATGACAATACTGGGTCATGCCAGTAAACTCTACATGAGCTTCACTGGTCACCGTTGATTCTACAGCCATGCTTTGTGTTGATAGGCAGGAATGTGAGGCGAATCCAAAGAGTAAAACAAAAAGTTGTACTTCACCTATTTAACCACTAGAGGCTCAGTATCTTGAATTTTCTCTAATGCACCTGTACAACCATGCATAAATCAGGAGCATAAATTAGCCGTGTCTCAAATGCATGTTGTAAATTTTCTTCCCTAATGTGACATTTTTTTAAATAAAAATTTTCTGAACACTTTCACTGCAAAAGCAAGAGAAAAAGACAAAAAAAATAATAACGTGTGCATGTATGTTGATACTTTGTGTGTGTGGTTGTGTGTTTGTTTTTGTGAAAATTTAGTACAATTGTCAGAATACACACTAACAAAGTCAGCTGCGAATATCACAAAAGTACTAATTTTGCCCTTTAATGAGGGCCAATACTAGCTAGCTATTTAATTTTGCTAATGTGAGCTAAGCTAAAAGGCAAAAAAACTTTGTGCCTCAGATATGAAACAGAAAGATGTGTAATTAATGTGCTAGCAGAACATACTGTGATCAATCTCAGCTCTCAGACTTTCTCCTTCAGTAGTAATGAAAGATTTTGATTTCATTTTGTTTGGGTGTATTATTTTCAGTGTTATAGCTAGCTAACTCAGGGATTTTTTCACATTTGGACTGTTCACAAATAAAAAAGGACTCAATAAACAACTTATTTAC